TGTAATGCCCCTCATAACACCACCTGCAAGGGAATTACAGCACCATATCAAGCCCCTCATAACACCATCTGAGAGGGAACTACTACACCACATAATGCCCCCCATAACACCATCTGAGAGAGTTACTACACCACGTCAAGCCCCTCATAGCACCACCTGTGAGGGAACTACTACACCACGTAATGTCTCTCATAACACCATCTGTGAGGGAGTTACTACACCACGTCAAGCCCTTCAAAACACCACCTGTGAGGGAACTACTACACCAAGTAATGCCCCTCATAACACCATCTGTGAGGGAGTTACTACACCACGTGTCTGCTGTTCAACACCTCAGATCACATGATCTACGTGACTTCCACTGTAAACATTAATCTGTATGTTCACTGTATGTTCCTTTACCTTTCTCTAATGAAGGCTTTTGTTAAACCACCAATGTATGTAATAAGTCATTTATGTCCAATGTATATTTTCAGCCTTCGGGCTGCAGAACTTTTTCAATAAACTGCTAATTGTTATTATTATTATTAGAATTTGACATTTTACCACAGACACATTGTGGTTTAGAATTATCCAAGGATTTCATCCTCCAATTTAATGTACTCTTTGCTGAATCACCCTGTATATATACTGTATATACAGTACAGCTCCTTCCCGACTTACGACCTACTCGACTTACGACCACCCGCACTTACGACCTGCTTCAATCGTACTAAAATTTTGTCAAATTACGTATTTTCAAGTCCCAACGTCAGTATACAGAAAAAATTTTTGTTTGTAATTTACTTTAAAATGGCTGGCAAGCTTAAAAGTGCGAGTTTTGTGGTGCTGAGAAGAAAAAGAGACACCCATTTTAGATTTTCTTTGTATTATTTAAGCATTTTCGACTTACGACCTGGATTTGGGTCCCTAACCCAGTCGTAAGTCGGGGAGGAGCTGTATGTATATAATATTAAAATAAAAAATCAAATCAAATCATTACAATACTGTACTGCACTCTAATGTGGCTGAGAAATAAACAAAATTAGCATAAAACTATAAATTAAGAAAAATGAAGATCATGGGTGTGCATGTGTAGGAAGTGAAAGTTTGTGCGTGGAGATATTGAGCCGTGAGTGTACCTGCGTTGCTCCCTTCCCTGATGCGAGTCAGATGAACTGTGTCACGTTGTCCAGAGGAGCTATTCTTTGTACATAAAATAATATATACTACACCAGTAAATGAGGAATAAATAACAATAATACCAATAAATAAAAGAAAAAATATTGCTTATTGCATTGCCAATCGTTTCACTGCACAGGGGACAGGAGACAGCAAACAGCCAAGAGATCGCCCTTCCCGCTCTGCGAGATAACTCCCACACACGCACAATAAATATTTATTCCCTTAATGTTTTTGACCTTATATTTTTTTCTTTTAATATTTTTTGCACATTCTGTATGAAAGATTGTGTGTACATGTAACAAAGCAATAAGATTACGTATGTTCACCTGAAATTACGAGTTAAAAAATAACTGCTCAAGAGTGGTAACCCTTGGCATCCTTTTCTCTAATTCACACTGATTCAGTAAACACCTCCCAAGCAGCATTTGCTGGTAATGTTGGTGCTGTAAATGTTTAAAATAGAGAATTGTACTGATTATATACAGTATTGTACTATAGTGCAGTGAGCCTCCATCACCTACCACATGGCATCACAAGCTTGAATTATCCTCATCCTTCTCCTGCAGTGCTGGTATGCATTAATTTTTTTGCAAATTTTCTGATTATGGTAGGTCATTTTGGCCAAAAAGTTGGGTATTTGGGTGGGACGAAAGACCAGAAGGAAAATGCCTTCATAACTCAGAATGGATAGAGCCCCATATATTCTAGTTATCAAAGGTTTACAGTCAGTACAGTATTGGGTGCTCACTCCTCTTCTATTATTTTACAATTTTTAACTTATGTGCTTGGTCATCTATGTATACAGTATTTGGGCTTTGAATTTCTGCAATTACTAGTAATTTCTAAGTTTCAATTTTGGTTGTCTGCATTTTCAAATTTTAGCACAATTTATGATTACGTACTTATATAATAATGTACTGTATCCCTTTATGTAAATTTTGTGTGTCAAATTCTTATTTTTTATTTATTGTGCTATTGCAGTTTTGGTCTGATGATAACAACATGTCCGGCATACATACCGGCATCATACAATCATATTTTTGTTCTTCACTGCAGACACGGGTACCAAAAAAAAAAAAATTATGATTCGGAACCACTTGGTACTATTACTTAATAATTAATGAAGAGCAGCTAGAGTTGCCAGATGCCACTGTAAGGTTCTATCACTGATGCTTGTCAGGTTATATAGTAAATGATTTTTAGTATTAGCTCAAAATTTTTATTCAATAAAAGTCCATTACCCTATAATGCATACACTTTTTCTGTATATTTTTTTCAAACCCAATAAAACCACTGGCTGAGTGGCATTCTCATTCTCTCTTGGGCGTTTCCATGAAAGTGCTGCAATTTAAACAATTAGTTAAAAACTTTCACTCCAAGCAGTTTCTTCTGTATACCATCTAACAACTTGTACAATATGTTAAAAACAAAATTTAACTCTTTCTGAGTTGTTTATGTCACCAGTTACAGTTGTACAGTCAAGCAATAACACACTCACCATTATACAATATATCGGTGCAAATTTAATTTTTACCTGATAATTAGGAATTTTGCCTGACAGAGGCTTGACAATAATTTGAAATTTGTCCATTACGTTAAGACTGTATATTTTACTTTCAAGCCCTTTCCCATACAAGGGAGACCCCCCAAAAAATACAATTACATCTTGATTCACTATCTTCCATTCTTTCTTACTACTGTAACAATATTTCCCTTCCACAACACAGACCCAAATATCTATCTGGTTAACAGTCACTTCACACTACATAACATCAATCTGTGGCATGTACACATCCAAAGCACAAACAAAGTTCTTAGAATTGGATGAAAACTATATTAAGAATATGTAGCTACAGTAGGCTCTCGCCAATAACGACTTCCACAATAAAGTTTTCGACAATAACGGTAAGTTACAATAGATACCCATTTTCGATAATAACGTCTGAATTCTCTTGAATAACGGAAATTTCGCGGGAAGCGTCCGAGCACATCAATGATAGCGCGTGTTTGCAGCCATGTTGATGACCTAGTTGTCCGCTCCGCCTCAGTCTCACACACGCTCGGTGAAATACAACTCTGCGCCCACGTGTGAGATTTTCGCCTCTATAACCAGTGGTTGTTAGGGTCGGTGATCAATAATGGCTTCCGCACTTTTGCCTGTGGGGGCTAGGGGAGGTGGTGGAGGGAGTGATTTGCCACCTGAATGACTGGGAACTTTTAAAGTGAAGAAATTGAACTGTCCTGAGTCTACAGTGCGAAATATTAAGAGGAACTTAGCGGAGACCAAAAAGAGTATTGCGCTGGCTAAAAATATTTCGGTAGTGATGGAAATGCGAGGCGAGCTATGAATGATAAAGGCAATAGAAACAGGTTGTTAGTGATAACAGAGCAAATTCTTGTGAAATGGTTAGCTTGTAGAATGAAAGACAGTGCAAGTGTTAGCGGCCCTCAGATACGGAAGAATCATTACACCAAGCACCTCAAAAACTCCCCCAAGTTAAGTGTTATATTACTCACTCTTTATTTTGATGATTGAATAGCAATTCTTTTTATTTCAGCTCACAAAAAGTGTTAGGAGGGCTTCAAGGGGAAAAAATGGGTGAAATTCTTGTGGCGGCAGCACCAATAAACCCTTTTTACATGTATTTTAATGTCACACAAATAACGTTTTCGCTAATAACGGCGTTTTTCAGGCACCTATTAAACGTTATTGGTGAGAGCCTACTGTAGATAATTTGGGTCAACACCAGCTAATAATAAAAATTAAGAAGTTAGCTGCTGACAGACCTAAATAGCCCTACAACTTTAAAAGCAATCCATGTCATGGATTTCCATCTTAACATGGACTTTGTTTTTTCCATAATAATAACTATTGTCCACAAGTAGTGTTTGGCTTTTGTGACTGCAAATATCAGGACAAATTAACACTATGTAGTGGACGTTTATAAGAATTTCTGGAAAACTTTGGGAATAATATTTTTTGTTGAACAGGAAAAAACTGCAATAGAATCTTCTCTCTGTGGTTGTTATTTCCCTAAGGTATACAGTAATCACACTACACAAGTCTTAATTCTGAAGTTCTCGTTTTCATGTTACTTATTTATTAATTCCTTTTAAAAGAGAAAGGCTTCATGAAAATTTTCATTCAATCAAGTAGATCATTCTTCAGCTTCCTCTAATTTAACTAGAATATTATTAAAATTTCCCTGCTACTTGGACAAGCTATAAATTTTCCCTTCATCATATGGGGAATTCAATTTATATGGCAGAGATGAGTGTTATAATGTTCCCTCCTTCAACTGGGGGGTAGTCATATTAAAACTGCAAAAGTCACCCACATTCTTTATATATTTCAACAGTTTAACATTCTCCAGTACAAGTAAATGCCAACTAATTCATTTAATTAGCAACTAAAGAGACAACTGTGCTCCTGTCACAGCCTTGACCTGACTGTGAATTACTGTTACTCACATCACAAAGTTTACACAACACTGCAGATGAACCACCAGGAGTGATTAAGGGAAACTGAATACAAGCAAACAAAAACTAAAATAGATTAAAATGTGAGAATTGGATATAAATTACTGTATGTCCTTAAACATCTGGATAGTGTTCACAGTTCACATACCACAAAACATAATGTTGTACAATCCTTCCAGGAAATGAAATTTTCAGACATTAAAACAAGCTGATTAATTAACTGCTACAAATAAAGTACACAAATCAACAAGTGAATGAAGCTTACAGATACTTTAAAACTGATATAAATAAAAAGTGGACAAAGCTTTAGGTAAATGAAGTCTCCACAGACTCATTACAACTGACCAACTGCTTACCTGCTACAGATGGAATACAGAAACATATCTAAGTTTACTCCTTTGAGTCAGCATTTTTTTCCTCCCGAGGCTTTGCACCACCAAATATACTGCTGGTTTGCGAGGTTTCAGCAATCTGGTTGACTGGATCCTTTTTAGTCCTGGGCAATAATTTCAGTTTTGGTCTCTGAGACAACTCTCCTGAAAATGGAATACAATTTACAACACAATAAAACAAAAATTATCTGTATGGTGAATAGTTAAAGAAGTCCTGGCTCAAAAGTATTCCCATCCTTGGTTACAGGTTAGGGTCAATATGGCCTGCAACTTTCTGTATTCCCATACTGTAAATCTCAAAGATATATATATATGCAAGTTCAGCATATGCGAATTCACTCATATACGAAGACCCTATTCCTACCAGGAATTAAATTAATGCAAGCAGAATTCAGCCTTATGCAAGATGTCATACTCCCTGATATGGATTCCAACCCTGTTGACTCTGCAGATGTTACTCCATCGCTCAATATGTAAAACCTCTACCACCCCCCCCCATCATTTCATCTACCCAAGTTGTTTTATCTATTATTTTAAAATTAATATTGTAATGATTTGTCTCATGGTTTATTTGTCTTGAAAATGTGTCTGGAACATTTACATTTTGCGTTATGGAATGCATCCTATTTTTCCCATTTAACTTAGTACTATTTGATATTGTATGCGATTTCGATTTATGCGAGGGTTTTCAGGAAGGCATCCCCCAATTATATCCAATTATATCAAGGACTTAGTGTATTTGCCCTTAAAGGTGCTATTTTAAAATGATCTTTGGAGTGCCCTTAAAATTTCACTCATTAACACTAGGGATCACCTGAAATTTATTTAATGAGCCTGTCATCGCTCTGTTTGGAGCCCGCAGAATGACCAGAAACCACGAAGATATTTTTTTCCCCCGAATGCTATTCGTTGCTAAGGTATTGACAAATATTTATTAAAATAATGTCTTCCTACGTATAAAAATAAATAAATACAAAAATAAAAGCCACTTAGGTGCGTTTAAGTGAAAAGTGGGAGTTTACTGTCGAATCCTCTTCCTGCTGTACTATACTCACATAGCTGCATCAGTCAGGATATAAAATTAACATGACAAGAAAGAGTAAATCAGGAAGATGATGATTGTGCAATAAGAAAAAAGATAATGGAAAAAGTAACGAAGTTACAGAATAAAAAGTAAAAATAAGTGGTGGTTAGATGCGCACTCGCAGTTACCAAAATGTTCCTACACATTTTTTTTCCCTTGCGGTCAAAATCTTTTGAAAATATTTTTTTTATGACGGATTATTACTGTACATACAGTCAACCCTTGCTTTACACGGTCCCACTTTACGTGTTTCCACGTTTACACGGTACCCTGCCGAAACCGGAATGCTCACTTTCCGCAGTGTGTGTACCCATTTACGCGGAGAGCGGCGCGAGCAGGGTGCGCACAAGGTCGCCCAGTCATCAAAACATTACCGAGTTCTTCACCCGCCACCCACCACAGCCGACCCAAGTCAGTGGTAGTGATAATGATAGTGAGGATATGGACTTTGGGGGGTTTGACAAAGAGCCCCTGCAAGCCTCTGTGGTGGATAGTGATACAATTGATACAGGTGAGGGCCAATAATCTGCCCTCTGCCTCGGAACCAACCCCCCATCCCCGTGTGCCCAGCCATCTTTTCTACTAATGTAAGTGTTAAAAAACCTAATATTGTTGATATTTCTCTTAATTATTAATTGTGTGTGCATACCATCATAAAATTAAGAAGTTATTTTTACTACAACGTAGGTATTGTGTCTGAAAAAGTGGAGTTTGGGGGTCGGCCCGGTCTCTATTTCAATTAATCCCATATGTTATGTTGTTCACTTTACGCGGGCCGCTGTGGGTTGAATTAACCGCGTAAAGTGAGGGTTAACTGTATAAGAAGGAAGAGAAATAGACCGGTTAGAAGTTTCTGTGACAAAAACTGAAATCTTGGCAATAATATTTCCACTTACCACTCAAACAAGGTAGGCATTGACATATGCACAACAATGGCGTTACAAATACATATCAAATAAGCACAATATATTCATTATAATTCACCATACCCATACGCATGCCTTTACAGTACTGCACTACATTTCATTATCACTTATTATTTTTCCTCGCTAAGCCTATACAGTATTAAAACAGGTTTCTATGTGGTATATGCAACTGTGAGTAGCCATTTACCAAAGTCTCATAAAAAAAAATAAAAAATCTCACTTTTTCATCATAAATATTTCAATGCACATCACTTTATCACTTCATAAGAATAAATATCGAGGTTGTACGAGATAAATATTTTGAGATAGCAGTGCAAACACCACGGTGGCCATTTTTAAATTGTGCTTGGGACTGACACACTCACTGCTTATTGAGGCATTTGTTGTCTTATACCATGTGGTCCACCACACATACTGTAGACGGGTTGCTATCTAGCCTTAAGACTTGGCTCTGCGCAAGAGAGTGGGTGACAAGGTGGCATTAATATTTGAAATACTGTAATTTAATCTGACACCAAGAAAAAAAAAAAAAGCCATGATGGCATGTCTGATCGCGAGGCAAAAGTTTCATTTACACTAAATCAAAATGCCACTTATGCATGTATGATCCCTAGAGTTTTAACAATTAACAATATTCTTCTTTCAATAATTCTTAACATTTCTGTTGTGATATGTCATCCCCTCAACAAACAAGAAAGATATTTGAGGCCTTGTTCTAAAAAGAGGACCAATTGTAGTACACATCTAATATTGTAACTCTAGAGCAAATCAACAATAAAAATGAAAGTTAGTAAATGAAGGGATAGTTTTGATTCTGACTACACATATCATTGTCAGTGTGCAAATCCTTTCACACTTAAGGACAGTGTGGCCAGAATCAAGAACAACAGTTTTTCATTCATTTTAGCTATTGTACAGGATGTGTTCTGCTATAGTGTTCCCCACTGTTTCATCCAATGCGCTACCAGTATGTTTTTCCCCAATTACCACTGAACACTACACTTCGTCATGCACTCACACTTTTGTTTCCTGAACTTAAACTCCTCCCATCTAGTACCATTATCACCCTATCCTTCCAATTCTTCCTTGATCTTCCCCTTTCTGACTTATGCATTAATTTTGTCAGTCTTTCACTTACCATTCTCTCATTATGTCAATACTCCTTTAGCAACCTTGGTTAGCTGTCTGGCATCCATTTCACTTCCAAAGTGTCTTCTTTATTTCTTTATCTTTCAATTTTACTCATGTATTTACTCCCAAGTCCATAATTTCCCTTGTTTCTAATTTCCTCTTCCTCTTAAGTCATTCCATATACCAAATCTCCAAATTTGTCTTACTGCATTATCACTTATTTACATTATTTTTAAAATAGGATCAGACATAGGGGACAGTATAAAGGTTGAGAAATACAATTAAAAGTTATTGTCCTTAACTTACCCGGATCAGATTCCTTGAAGTCATCAAAATTACGAGAGCGATCACTATCTCTGCGGTCTCGTCTCATATAACCTCCGTCACCCCTGCCACCACGGTCCCCAGTAGGTGGTCCAGGTGGTCCTCCGCGACCTCTAGCACCATATCCTCCTCGATCACCCCCTCGGGGTTCATCAAAACCACCATATCTACCACCTCCGGCACCACCTGCACCAAAACCTCCTCGACCACCTCGTCCACCTCGGTCGTCGTCCCTTCTGTAACGGCCTGGTTTAAGGCATACAACAACTATTACAACTGCAAAATAATAAAACTTATTCAAGTTATTGTACATTTACTGTCCGAAGACACAGAGGTCATCTGCACTAATAAAGGATGTTACAAATTATCCCTCACTTAGCAATTGGGATGCATTCCTGGAAAACCAATCGTTTGGGGAAAGGATCGCTAAACGAGGGAAAATGAGGAATATCCTAAATGAGGGAAAAGAAAGATTAATATTTGTAGAGATGGGATGTAATTGCATAACTCAGTCTTGGACTCACCACCCAGTGCACTCGGAGCGGGTAAGGCTCAAGTGTGAGCTGTTATTGTTCAACTTGTGATTCATATATATTCGGCCCTTAACATACGCGGGTTTAGCATACACGGATTTGCAAATACGCGGATTGCCCCGCCGCAAGAATATTCTGTACATTGAAGTAATTGAAGTACATTCAAATCGCGCGCGGCACCTCACACGGGGCACCGCCCGCTCCCGCAACCTCACACACACACGCATAGCTCTCCCTCACTCAGTCAGTCTCGCTGTAACCACGCCTGTGTTGACATCAGCATTGTAGTTGCAAAAATAATACGTTTCCGTGAATGTATTATATCAAGCACAGTATGAATAGAATATCACTAATTCAACAGTATTTTAACCGAAAACTATTAAAAAAACGAGTAACATATCTTGAACATCAGAAGGTTAGGCAAAGTCTTTTGTTTTCATGTAGTTTATCCTAATTTACATTGAAATACATTACGTATCAGCAAAACTACTATTCATTTCTGAGAATATGGAAATGTAATATTTTTGTTGAAATGACGTACGTATTACAGTGGAAAGTGGGATAAAATTGTGACGAAAGCAATGACTTTCGCTGTCTTTCGTTCAAAAGATGTTACTGTAATCGCTTCTCAAATGGTTTTCAGTTGTGTGATTATGAGGCTAATGATAGGATAGAATATTATTGTAATACAGTACAACAGTTTTTTAACTGAAAACCATTCGAAAAGCGAGTACGGTAAAATCTTTTGAACAACAAAAGAAAGCGAAAGTCATTGTTTTCATCATGATTTTATCCCACTTTCCACTGTAACATGTACGTCATTTCAGCCAAAATATTACATTTCCATATTTATTTCTGAGAATATATTCATTCAGTCACAGTTAAGGTAAAATATACTTGTGATGTAATATTTTAATGAGAATACGGTAGCGTAGTTTTCTTTTGTTTCAAATTTAATTAACAATGATTGATGTTACAAATGTAATGAACAAAAATTTATGTACAGTATATATAAATAAACTTTAAAAAATTAATACTTTACGTTTTACATCGTCCTGTGCATACCATACCATGCATTTGGCTACTTTGGGCTTCCTATGATGACGCAAGAGATCTGCCCTGGCAACTGTACCGACACTCACAGCTGGTGGTGCGTCGTTTCCATTGTTTACTGGTAGTTACTGGTAAATATTTTTCAACCTAACGAAACTATTAGCCGTTTAGAGGTTGACCCCCAATTTTTTACCAAATAATTTGGTCTTAAAAACTCGAACTACACACAGGTATATACGGTAAATAAGGACATGGGGGGGCCAGGGTTTTTTTTTGGGGAGGAAAAGCAGTTTTTTAACATTCACGGGTATCTGTTACCTAACCCCAGTGTATGTTAGGGCGACTGTGTGTATATATACAGTCATGCGCCGGTTAACGTCCTAGATACGTTCTTGGAAACGTGACGTTAACCATATGGACGTTGTCCGATCATCATATAAACTTTTTATTTATTATTTATACTTAGTGTATGTGGAATACTATATACATACATATACACTTTTACTCTTAAATCACTACTGTAATGTGATACAGGTGATTAATTTTTATCTCTTGTGCAAAATACATGACGTTTATATTAAAATTATTCACTGTTTTACAAGGATTCCAGCAACGCCGGCAGATGGGGAGAGAGAGGGTGGGAGCAAGCGAGGGGGCGTGGGGGGAGGGGAGGTAGTACGTTTGACAGTTGGCACAGGCCCAGGTCTAACGCGTGTATATTTATCAGTTCTTAGGTGACTAAGCTTCTCTCTTATAAAAAGCCAGTGAAATGACCTGGGTGAATATAATTAACATAGCTGGGATTCTTGTAACATACTGATTAATTTGAATATAAACATGCTATAATTTGCACTAGACAAAACAATTTTAGTACCGTAATCAAATTAGTACATGTGCACTCCAGCTTTGCACTAAGAAATCTATGTAAATCTACCCAAAAATACAGTTGAAAAACTTTTTTATAAAATGTACTACAGTACTGTACACTAATGTACAACAATTTTTATCTCTTGAGCAAAATATATGACGTTTATATTCAAATTATTGGCTGTCTTGCAAGGATTCCAGCAATGCAAATTATAATCTCCTAACTTTAGTCTGAGATATTATATAAGATAAAAACTGTAAGCCTAAAAGCCTGGCTGGGGGGGGGGGGGACTGACGGCTCCGCCACCCAGCGAGGGGTTGGGGGGGTTGGGGGGGTTGAGGTGATAAGTTTGAGGCGAAGGTCTCTGTGTGTTTATTTAACAGTCCTACTAAGCTTCTCTCATTTTAAAATGCCAGTGATATGACCTAGGAGAATATAATTAACATAGCTGGGATTCTTGTAAGATACTGATTTATTTGAATATAAACATGTTGTAATTCGCACTAGACATAACAATTTTAGTACCGTAATCAAATTAGTACATGTGCACTCCAGCTTTGCACTAATTTATTTTACGTTTCTTTTAGTATGGTGTGTGCATGTAAATGGATGAAAATAAATGAAGAAATTTATGTAAATCTACCCAAAAATACAGTTGAAAAACTTTTTATAAAATGTACTACAGTATTGTACACTAATGTACTACATTTTTTATATCTTGAGCAAAATATATGACGCTTATATTCAAATTAATCTCTGTCTTGCAAGGATTTCAGCAATGCAAATTATATTATCCTAACTTTAGTCTGAGATATTATATAAAATAAACATAAAGAAATCACCAATCTTTTATCTTGAACACGAGGGTGGGGGGGGGGGGTGAGGTGACAGAATGTCTGGGTGAATATAACTTACATTGGAGGGATTCTTGTAAGATAGTAATTTATTTGAATGTTTTTTTTTTCAATTTAAATTTTAATTGTTTATTCCTTGATAGAGGAAGCGGGATCCTAGTGCTGTCACTTGGTACCCCTGTACCATAACACCAGAAGCAACTGGCCAGTGTCACAAGTATATACAGTCATCCCTTGGTTATCGCGCCTAATTGGGACCCCGCCGATAACGAAGTACAGAACCTATGGGATTTATTCTAATTGGTTCCAGGCACCCAAGACCCAACCCCAAGTTTCCCATTTTACGACCATTTATACCCACTAAATATATATATATATATAATGTTATGGTAAATATCATAAACACACATAGGCATGGCCAGGTTTATTACAAAGTGATGAAAAGGGTACACTTAATACTGTAGTCCACAAAACATGTAGCTATGCTTTTTTTTATTTGGTCCCCCGTCATACGAGTCCGTTTTCTCTCACATCAGGACGCATGAGTCCTCCGTTTTCTCTCTTAATCTTAAGAGTGCACCAGAAACTTTACTATTTTTAGTAATGCCACAGATTTTGAAATTGCAACTCCAATTGCAACTTGTAATTGTTGAGGCAACCAGATATATCTGATTACAGCAATTGTGTTATTGTCAATTTGTAGGTGAAAGATTTTATCCTTAATAGATGTAGGTTAACATTTCACCTGTAGGCAAATAATTAGAAAAGCCTAAGTAAGGAAGCATATTCCTTTAACACATAATATCTGACGAGTATGGGGAGGATCATCGTGTCTCCGTCAGGGGGCCATGGAGTGGTGGTCCAGCAGGTGTCACGTGTTTGGTTTTTGGGGGGCGGCACGGACGTATATGCGATCGGACGTTGTTCGGTCGGACGTTAACCGGCGCATGACTGTGTATATATATATATATATACACGTGATTCTCCATTTTCTTTTATTTTACAACATGCACACACAATCGTTCACGTAGAATGTGCAACACGAAAACAAAATAGATGTCACCATAAGGTCATCAACATAATGGGAATAAACAGTTCTTTCTTGGTTGGCAGCTAGCTGACAGAGCGGGGAAGGGGAAGCAGAGTGAGGAGTGGCTTGGGGGAGCTTTCAGCTCAGCTGTGCCGTCTCATGTTTTGTGAAATGATTGCCAACTGGCAATGCAGTATCTTTTATTTATTATTGTTATTATTATTTTTATTTATTCCTCACATTTACAAGTATATGCGACACAGTCCATCCGGGCAGTCACCAAGCTGACTCGAAAGATGTGTGGGGCTACTGTCTGTATGCCATGATGTCACATAGGGAGGGTGCAGCTGGCCAGTTACAATTCACTATATCATTACAGACATTCACTTCCCACACACCGATGTTCTTTATTTTTCTTATTTATAGTGTTATAGTACTGTATACCGGTACTGTACATTATAAAACTATAAAATATGTACTGTATACAGTAGAGTACATACAGTACTGTATTTTCTTTATTTCCAAGCCACATTACAGTATCGTAATGATGTGCACTTACAGTAGAGCACAGTATCCCCAGTTTTTCCGACTTACCCCCTGAATTTTTCTCAGCGAGTCGAAAATCGCAAAACCAAAATATCACTAAGTAAATGATCGTTAAATGAGGGAAACCTGTACATGTACTCCTAATATAACACTACTGAGTAGATGTTACATTCCAGATATAAAATTAACTGGTAATGGGTTTACTGAAATATGACTATACAATGTGCTCTGTCACGCCCCCACCTTTCTATTTTACTCTTGGTTTTTCCCTTACTCTACTTCCCATCACTATCTGAGAGTGAGTCCTAAAGGCCTGGAAGGCTGTTAGGATCAGTGTGGACACAGAACACAGTGGACTAAGGCTTTTTCAGTATACTGTAGAGGAGGAAGTGAGGCTAGCATTTCACTTGACCACAATCACTTCCCAAACAGAGTTGACTGCCTTTGAACTAGTTATTGCTAGTTAGTCTTGTTGTGTTCAAACACCTGATCCTGAATACTGTCATCAAGAAGATTATCCAATATGTGTTCGACAACCTAAGTGTGAAATTCAAGACCCTCTTCTATCCATACCAGAATGTTTGTACTGATGAAAGGTTAGTGCTGTAGCGAGGCAATATCAGTTTCAAGCAGGATAGTTAAACCCGGTTAATCTGAACTAACTGAGAGGAGATCCAGTCCAGATTTAAGCAATAATACGGATAAAACGAGTTTCGGGAGGGGGCTCAGTTAATCCAGAGTAAATCTGGATTAACTGAGAAAATTCTGGATGGAAAATCAGCATGGCCATTTGCTGCTTGCAACACCACCCAGCAACAGCTTTGTTTACAAGCCAGTTGCGCTTCTACAGCCATTGTGTGCACCACTTAACTCCTGCAGACTATTTGCGCCATTGGATGCAACCATCCGGCTCACTGTAAACAAGTATATGCGTGTCGGTCAGTTCACGTGGAGTGCACATCTATGGCCTACAGCGCAAGCTTTATCCATTTCTTTTTCCATCATTGCCCAGTGTTTGAGCCATTATGCCTGATAACCATAAATCTGGTACTCTACTTAGAAATGTTTAAATTTTGATTGGGGCAGACAATGGAAAAGTACCGTTGTTTTGTTTGTTTTCCCCCAGGTGTTCCCTCATACTTCGTAAGGGGTAGAGCCCCTATTATTTCGACTTATGGGGATTTTACTTTAGCTCAAATAATGTCTAAGTTTAGCCTAAGTATGAAAAAAAAAGAAAAAAAAAAGACGCATTTTGTGGAGAATAGTGAGTGAGCTATGTGACAGCTGGGCAGGGTGACTGAGTGTTGCCATATCTTCACCATAAGTAATTTTTATAACTTTATATTGTAAACATATAAAAGAAATAGAGAATAAGAAAAAAAATAATGAAAAAAATTAGTGTAAAGTTGCTGTAAAGGAGGTGGGAAGTGAGTGACGCGGGTTGGCGGGGGATACCATACACATGGCACCATAGGGCCAATGACGTCACCTGCTGGGACATTTAAGGTGAAGTATTTTTTTTTTCATGTTCTGGTGGCTAATTGGGGGGGGGAGGGGCATTTAGAAATAAAAAATTGGACCATAGGCCATGACACAATACTGTATACTGTACTGTATAGCTGAACCACCGGGGGTTAATATTACAACAAATATGAATAATCATACTCACGTTCAAATGTACTTTGGCTCCTGTATAGCTTCAACCTAAATAGCAATGAAAAATGGGACCAAGAGAGGCTAAGCCCCCCAAATAATTTTTTGAGCGTAACTTCACATTAAAAAATATTCATACCTACACACAGTTGAATATGTCACAAATCTTTGAAAAAATATTGTTCAGTGCATGTGTGTAAATTCACAAAGTACTGTAGAGGAATACAGGTACTCACTAAAGTCATCTGAAGCATCTCGTCTTCCTCGGAAATCATTCATATCCCCACCTCTTCCTCCACCTCGTCCCCTGCCACGGCCTCGATCAAATCCACCTCCTCGATCACCTCGGCGTGACTCTAGTGTAGAACACAGTACAGTATTGAAGGAAATATAACTTACAAGTGATAGGAGTGTGCAACATACATTTTATCCACATGTAGTACATGCAAAATATGGCTATATTAACAGTTGGTTTGGAAGAGTGGTTTTTACCCATAATTTCTCAAACAAGGACTTCAAATTAATTTTCAATTATCTCACTACATCACTCATATCATTAAAGAACATCACCATACATAACCAGAAGCAACAAAATTATGCTTTTTATTAATATTTCCAAGTTAACTAGTAGTCAATCAGTGTTAACCTCCTATATCGCTCGCCAGTCACCAAACAGTCCTTCCTAGGCCTTCATGTTTCTGACACACAAAAAAATTTCAGTTACATGCAACAGTATAGAGACAAAGCAAAATATACAGGTTGAGAAATTCATTAGTCATAATGACTGAAAGCTTACCAGAATAGGAATTAAATCAATCTGTTGAAGTAACTAATGACATTAGTGAGGAATTAATGCCTTCTGGCTTAGTGTCACATTGCACATCCACCTCACTACAATAATATCTCCGCTAGCCGGAATCCCTGAAACCTGGAACTCTCTGAAGCCGGAATTGAAATTTTCTCGGAAAATCGTTCTCAAAGCCGGAATTTCCCGGAAAATTCAGGCTTTGGGAACGATTTTCAGAGGGGCTCATTTTCCGGGATAATTCCGAGAAAGTTTTCCCGGTACCTGAAAAATAACATACTACAATTGTCTTACCTGCAATATCCACTCTGATGTTTTTATTATTATAAAATGCTCCATCAAATGAAAGCGAATCTTCCAAACTTTGAACATCTTCAAATTCCACATAGCAAAATCCTTTAAATTTTCCAGATTCATTGTCGAATACCAATCTTACGGACCGCACCTGACAAAAAAGTATAATTATATATTAGAATACAAGCCCTATGAAATAATTTTATTTATACAGTATATAAGGTCAAACAAAATACAGTAATAAAGTAAGCAAGAATATAAGGGACATGGAAAAGTAAGATTAACTGCAGTGTAAAAGTGTTTTTCTTATGATAGGCAAATGGCCACAATTTTTCCTGGTTTTCAAATCTGGCCCAAAAGCACCTACAGGGGGTCCCCAAAATTTGTGTATTTTTATTTCACTGTTCTCTATTATTTGCGGATGACACTCTGGATGTGCCCAAGAATGTCTGTGAGTAGTTTTAAAGTTACCGGCATTTTTGAGGCTGGGACGGGGAGCCATTCATTCTTGTATTGTATTGTAGATATGTGTGTGTCTACACACATGCACATACAGTATATACAATACATATATACAATCAGAAACAAATATATTAAAAATGTGAGTCTACCCTGAAGTCCATGCTTTAATAAATAAAGCATGGACTTGAGGGTAGACTCACATTTTTAATAATTTTTTCTCATTATTTGTGAGAGTATTTTCCCATTATTATTTATTTGTAGGCATACAATACTATACAGGTATAAGAAATAATTTTCCTCAGGGCAAATGTTATTCTCGGCCATTTTGAGAACCTAACTCCTGCAAATTTGGGGGGCCCCCTGTACTTACAAATCACTCATATTTTAAAATTACTTAAAACTCTGAAATTTATCAAATTCTGATCACTAAATTGGGATTCAATCATCATATGTTCACAGAATAAATTTTGTATCTTCAAGCCATTTTCGACGAGTCTTACAAAGTCACGAGTCACCGAGAGGGAAAGTCTCATGTTTAATGGCAAGTCACAACCTTATTTTTGGCAAGTCTCAAGTCAGTACAGATAAATACTTCTTTATCACACACAGTGCTTTTCCTCATGTTTCTGGTTTATGTGCATATCCATCATTCAGTTTAACTGTATTGCCAATTACAGTACTGTATGTGGCTTGCTGGGTTGGTGAGAGGAAGTATGGCTGTGATGTACGAGATCTGTCCAAAAAGAAACCGAACTTTTTAAATAGCTCGCTAACGATCCGGCGCAGCATGCTCGCGATGGGAGCGCTGTGTAGCAGTGACCTTGACCTTTAGTCTAACACCAGCCGCATCACGTCACATCAATTAGTCATCGAGCTACATGCGCTCGAGTGAACGTGTGTTTAGTGCACTGGCTATTTGTTAAAAGTTGAACAATGATGGATCTTGAAGAGCAACGTGTTTGCATGAAATTCTGTTTCAAATTGGGAAAACTTTTAAGGAGACTTTTCAAATGTTGCAACAGGCTTATGGGGAGGATGTTTGAGCCATATGCAATGTCACGTGTGGTACAGTACCAGCGTTTCAAAAGGGGAAGAACATCCACAGAAGACGACCCCAAATCTGGACGTCAGTCGCTCATATGTGGAGGTGATGTTGATCGTCTTCTTTGATTGGAAGGGCGTCGTTCATCATGAGTTTGTTCTACGTGGTCAAACAGTCCATAAAGAGCTTTACTTGGAGGTCGTGAAGCGTTTGAGTGAGGCAGTGCAAAGGAAGAGGCCTGAGGCGTGGACAAACAAGACCTAGATGCTGCACCATGACAATGCACCTGCTCACGCGTCGCTCCTTATCCATGACTTATTGGCGAAGCACGAGACGACTATCATCCCATAGCCGCCCTACTCTCCGGATTTGGCCCCTGCGGAATTTTTATTGTTCCTAAAGTTGAAATCCACCATGAATGGTCGCTGATTTCAGACGATAGAAGAGATAGAAGAAAATTCGCTACGAGACCTGCGCACCATCCCTCAAAACGCGTTCCAGAACTGGAAAAAAAGTTGGGAGCGGTGTATCAACAGTGGAGGGGAGTACTTTGAAGGAGACAAGTCTGATTAAGTTGCAAGTAAAGCAAAAAAATTTTTTTTTTAAAAAGTTTGGTTTCTTTTTGGACAGACCTCGTATTGCACAATTTTTTCCCCTCCCCCTTTTGTGTGCAATTTTCTTCATTTTTGTACAGGTCTCTTTATTTTTCCATGGTGTACCAGAACCCTGTACAATTCTTGTTTGTGTTCAGTAAATAAACATTTTGGCTTTGCTTAGTGAATTTTTTGGGCCTAGTGTTTTATTTTGCATTAAATTGCATTTTTTTATTTTTTTTTACAGGATTAGCCTACCAGGGCACAGGTCAATGACCCACTTCAGGGCCTGGGGACAAAACTATGTATTTCAATATCAAAATTTTTTATCATGCAAACTGTACATTTAACTGATTTTTTCCAAGCATGTATGAAACAATATCTTGTACATCAAGCATGGGCAACCTTTCCTCAGTCATGGGCCACATTACGATTTAGGTATTTTTATGTAGGCCTACTAACCAAAATTTATATCCTACCTAATCCAAAAGCAATATTACTATTGTATTAGCACGGACAGTGAAGCAGTTTATAGTCACGTCTACCTTACGATATTTTCAGTTTACAATCATAGTCTTTTTCCCATTTATGACACAAATCAATCATAATTTTTTTATAAGTATAATATGTTAATGTTTCTTAGCATTTAACAGAAGATGAGTGAAGCAGTCTGTGGATACATTGGTTTATCTTTCAGTTACAGCATTTATCTTACCTATGAGACACACCCACCAGAATAATGCCAATGTTAATCTTGGCATATGAGGAACTACAATGAAACAACCTATATATATATATATATATATATATATATATATATATATATATATATATATATATATATATATATATATATATATATATATATATATATATATATATATATATATATATATATATATATATATATATATATATATATATATATATATATATATATATATATATATATATATATATATATATATATATATATATATATATATATATATATATATATATATATATATATATATATATATTTCATGTAAATCCACAATGAAAACGTGGATAAGATAAATCTTGATAAAATCACACGGGAAAATGGAAACAACGGAGTACCTTAGCTTTCGTCTTTATTCAAGACATCTTCAGAGGCAACTGGATTACATGGACAGAGAGAGGCTTAAATATGCAAGGTGACCTAAAAACATGAGGTCAGGTCATAATGATGACATCCACTAATCCCCACACCAACATACACGTAGAGGAGCTTAAGAGAAGGGTGGTGACGTGACTAGACAGGTCAGGTCAGAAAAAAGGGACCCACAAAATAACTATCATACATCAAGATCAAAGGTTTTCAAAGCATTTTTAACCTTGGGCCACTGACAAATAAATTTATGTAACATATTATCAGTTTTGAACTGACCAGTACTAAGGTTTATTGATTTTAATTCCTTAATCAAACTAGCTTCAACCAGAAGTCTTTCTGTGACACAAGATGATTTGAATATTTCTAAGCTTTTTTCCCAAGCAATGGGGTGATTATTATTCCTAACATGAACGAACAAGGCACTGCTTTCATATGCAGTTCTGATATTATACTTATGTTGTTTGATTCTGAGCTGCAGTGTTTTTCCTGTCTGACCTACATAATTACAATTACATTTGCTACATGGAATACAATAAACACTTCCATTTACATTCAAACTTGGGCTATTCTTTATTAACATATTGGTAATGGTTGTCATACTTGAAAACAACATTAATATTTAGAAGCTTGAGGGACCGAACTAACGGGACAAATTCAATACGATAGGGCAGAGTCAAAATATTCTTAAGTGTAGGAACTTGTCTGGTTTGAGAGGAATGAAAGGATTTTTTAGCCCTTTTAAAACATTGATCAACAAACACAGAAGGGTACCCAAGTTTCTGTGCAATAGAACGAATGTGTTTCAATTCATCGTCAATAAATTCAGAGTCACAAATACGCAGACATCTTAGGAACATAGCAGAAAAAACTGACATTTTGGTAGACTCAAGGTGATTGGATAAAAAGTGAATGAAACTGTCTACCTGTGTGAGCTTTCTATATACCTTAAATTTATAGTTTTGGCCATTTCTCATGATAAGCATATCAAGGAATGGAAGGGATTCATTTATTTCTCTTTCAATTTTGAATGTGATACTAGGGACAATATTATTAAAAATTCCAAAGGGTCACTGTTTTTAGGCCAAAGACAAAGAACATCATCTACATATCTATACCATGGAGGAATAAAGTCCACTATATTGGGTAGTAATCTAGACTCAAAAAACTCCATATAAATACAGGCTAGAGGAGCAGAAAGACAATTATCCATGCTCATGCCAAATATTTGCTAGTAGAACTTCCCATTTACTCTAAACACATTGTCAGTTACCCATAACTCTATCAATTTCAAGAAAGTATCATGTTCAATAGTCAAATCTAGTAGTTGTAATTTATCTTTAAGAAATGAAAGTAAGTCTTTCACAGGTACTCTAGTGAACAGTGAATTTACATCAAAACTTATTAATTCGCAAGGTTCGTTGTGTTTCTTGAGTTTATCAATTAAATCACTGCTATTGTGTATATGTGAATTAGATATTTGGCCTGTAAGAGGGGATATCATCTTTACCAGCCACTTGGATAATTTGTAAGTAACAGAACCCACAGAACTCACGATAGGACGTAATGGATTATTAAGCTTGTGTGTTTTGATCAATCCATACATATAAGGTAAAGTGGGATTGATTTGAGAGAGCTGTTTAATGACATCGGGGTTCTTTTTCATTTTGGAATTAGATAACTTATTAATATTTTCCAGGGGATCTTTCGTAAGCTCACAATACGTGCTTTCATCACTAAGTAACGAAAGCTAAGGTACTCCGTTGTTTCCACTTTCCCGTGTGATTTTATCAAGATATATATATATATATATATATATATATATATATATATATATATATATATATATATATATATATATATATATATATATATATATATATATATATATTAAAGAATCTCTACTAACGCGGGTCAATTGA